TCCATCTCAGCAGCAGGGGATGAACTGTAAGTACCGTATCTTGAAAACTAACAACTGGAAAGCTGGCCAAGCGTCTATGTGCACGTACACCAGCACTGCCACAAGTGCTGCCACAACAAAGATGTGACTGCGTTTCTTAAGTGTATCCTTTGTGCCGATGGTGCTTTGCAGTCAAATGCTTTCCATTGCCTTAACAAGCTGAGACCAAGAAGCTGATGGACGGTGGCTGTATCATATATACATGACGACTGGCTGCACTTCTGCTATTACATGAAATGAGTGTTTAAACAGAAGACAATCTACAATCTATGAACAGCATGCCATGCTTCAGAATAACACTGGCTAACATAGTTACAACTCCATGGCAAATGCTGATTTGGGGGCAATGGATATTTCCAGTTTTCTTTCAAACTTAATGGGAAAAAACTAAAAAATAAACCACAAACCTCATCTTAAGCTCCAGTCCAATGCTTTCAAACATCCCACCACTCCTATAGTCACAGCACCAAGTCCTCGGCATTCCTATAACCAGAATTATATCGACATTTCAGCCATCTTAAGTTGATTTAAAATACTTTGGAGATGCCAGGCTTATGCAAACAAACACATACAAGATAAAACTAAAATAGAATTTAGTCGTGGTGGCAGAGTGGTTAGAATGCAATACTGCAAACTGACTCACTGCTCCCCCCCGTTTGATTCTGACCAGCCCAAGGTTGACTCAACCTTCCATCCCTCCAAGGTTGCTAAAATGAGGGTGCAGATTGTTGGGGGGCAACATGCTGGCTCTACAAAACAGAGGGCTTTAGTAAAGCACTGTGAAACAGTATATAAGTCTAAGTGCTATTGCTCTTACATCAAGGGTCAGTAACCCCAGGCCATCAAGAAATCATTCTCGCTCTTCCTCCCGCTGCCAAAGCAGAAAGGTTGGGGTCAGGTGGATTACACTAATGGCTCACAGGAAAAGAAGGAACGGGTTTTAAGCAGATTTGGGGAGGAAAATATTAGTTTTGGGGAAGCGTAAGAAATTTTTTTAAAATACAGTGATCAACAAGATTTAACTTGGTAAACCCACTCATTTCTTATTAGAAACAGTTCACAGCTATAATGCAAGCCAGAGAGACTGAAAAGGCTGCAGCAGTTTAGTAGAGGATCACTTATGAGCAATGCTGGAAGTTTGGACTAGCTAACTGTAGAAAGGAGATACTGGTAATCCTCTACTTAATCACAACTGGGACCAGAATTTATGTTGGTAAGGCAGACAGTTAAGTCACTAACTATTTCATCACTTTTTGCCATAGTTGTTAAGTGAGTCATGTGGCTAAGTTCCAACTGTTCGTTGGAAGATAGCTGGAAAAGTTGCAAATGTTGATCACATGATCCTGGGATATTGCTACCATCGTAAACATATGCACCTGAATGTTGATCACATGACTGTGTTGATCACATGACAGTGGCTACTATGAGGACTCAACATGCCACCTTAATTTTGAATGATCACTAAAGAAACAGTTAAGTCGAAGACTATCTCTAACTAGTGGAGTAAAACTAATCATAGAAATTCAAAGAACGGATTATAGAAAGGAATTTCTTCCATACCTACTATAACACCCAATCTGTAAGGTGTATGCAAGCCTGAAGAAATAGCGCAAAAGGTATCATTAATCTCAAAATAATTTAGTACTGGGGATATAGTGCCTTTTTCCTGACCCAAATATTCAGGATTATTTCTAAAGCAAAAATCAGGGAGATAACCAAAAGAACAATTGCAGAAAGTCACTGCAATTAAACTTCACAAAGCACATGGATAAACATCCATGTACAACAGGGGTGTCGAACTTGATTTCAATGAGGACCACATCAGGGTTGTTTGACCTTGAGGGGGCAGGGTGGGGGTGGCCAGCGTGTCACTCATGTCGGGGGAGCGCCTGTGGTGGCCCAAGCACTCTGCCAGTGACAACAGGCTGCCCAGCTCAGTTTTCGGCTGGGATAGCCTCCTGCAATCCTCTGCCAGCGAAAGCAGAACTTGGGAGGCCCGCTCGCAGTCCTTGTAAGCTGTTTTCACCAGTCCTTTGTTGTTTCCAGGATGCCCCCTCCCAGGCCAGATCTAAGCACCCCACCAGCCAGACCTGGCCCCCAAGCCTTGAGTTTGACATCCCTTGTGTACAACAAAGGGGTTTCTAAAAATCTTCAGAATAAAGATAGTTTAATTTTTAAATTCTAAGTACAATACTGAGCTATTATTAGATGCAAGTTATTGATTACTGGAAAGAAAATAAAAATCACATTTCATTTATCTGTCCACAGAAAATTATCATAGTAGTTCACTAAACCACATTTTATTTCAAGAAGAAAGTTCTGAAAACTCAGGTTCCAGTAAAAAGGAAACTGTTAAACTGAATTCATACAATTCCCTTAAATTCAGGCCTGACAGAAATTTCAAGGGAATGTAGTCAAGAGTCAAATAGTTCTAGAAGCTTTAAAGAACAGTTAACACATAGTCCATGAGGCTATTGGCATAGATACTAAAGGCTTTCTTCAAAAACTGGAAGGCTTGTTGAAACCACAAAAAATTAAATTTAACCCAATAAATGGAAATTTAGAATGGATACAAAAAAGCAGAGTACAATTAATCAGACCTTTAAACACATCAGAAGTCAGCAACCTGGCTAGAGTGTGGTTAATTAGAATATTGGATAAGGAGATTGCAGAAATTTTTTGTCTTTCTTCATTACTTACCAGGTAAGGCAGATGCCTTTGTTAAAACTGGCTGATTTCTAGTAAGGGTTATTAGAAACTTCTACAAACAATAAAGAACTGAGGTGTAGGTTTGGGTTTTTTAAAGAAATGAAAAAACAAATCCAAAGGGCAACAAATCAATTAGTTTTGAAATATTTGCTGTTCTTTGACAAAATGTCTTTTACAAAATGATTGTTTACAAGATAGGAAAGTAACCAAACTAATTCAAAGAATTTGAGCAGGCATGCCTTACACTGTTCATAAATGATCTGAAGTTAAGGCTGAGCAATGAGTTTAGCAGTTGACTCACAATTTAATGCATTGGTTGGGAAAATAACCAGCAGTTCCAAGAAGTTATCTCCAAATTTCAGAAATGCATGCTAATATTGCCCAAATTTAAACAAAAACTAATTATTCACATTTAATACAGCATTAACTGGGAGATATAGGTGGCAAACATGTCTTGTGATGGGCAGCACAGTAAAAGGTAAAATAATTTGTGGCTACAGGGAGAAAGGAACAACTGAATACACTGAACACATCTAGTGCATATAGATTACAATATTATTCAAGAACCAGTAAAAGATGCAAAAAGGACTAAGCAAAACGATCAAGGAAAGCACAAATATCATACAAGGAAATGTTAGAATGTGGTGCTACTTGGGTGCAGAAGGCAGGGCAAGGGGAGGAGGGGAAGACATCAGGTTTGTTTAAAATAATTCAGTATGGAGTCCTTTTCACATGTAATTTGACATACATATTAATATAGCACACAATCACAGAATAGATCAGTGGAGAATAAAGCCATCAGTAGCTATTAATCTAAAAGCTTTTCCCTCATCAACTGTCATAAACTCTATTCTTCTACATGCTAGTCGCTGGTAATACTTTAACACTTGTTTATGGCCTTTCCAAATGTTAATTGCTCATTGCAAAAAAAAAAGACTGGATAGAAGTTACTTTTCATTTATACTGCTGCCATGTCCTTAAACAATATACCAAATGCAATTTACTTAAATTAAAATGGACATTCAAGGAACAAATTTTGGTCCAGAGCAAAATGTTGTAGTACAGGGGTATCAAACTGGCGTTGTACTGCATGTGACATATCACAACTTTTTCCCCCTTTGCTAAAATGGGGACAGGCATGGCCAGCGCAGGACACATCTGGCCCATGGGCCACAAGATTGACACCCCTGCTATAGCATGATTCATAATAGCTACTAAATCAGCCTCTTATACTTAAATCTTAGTTCCCCAAAGCTTTTAATTACAAATCTAAGTTTAAAACTATCAAAAGATAATTTGTCTCCTTTATCAATCACAGAAGACCAATAAACACTGGATTCAGCTGTAGCATGCCAACAGGTGTCACCATCTCAATAAAAATTATAATTTTTAAATTCTCTAGTATGGTGATCCATGAACAATATTCAGCTGTATTCTAAATTAATATGGTTACACCAGCCATACTGCTTTTAAATAGGTATTACAGTTGGATTTTCTAGAGGCCATGCAGTGTGATGGTCTTAATATATAGTGGAGAAGACTATCAGGCACTCCCCAGAGCCACAATGTTATTTTTCCATTTGCCTGCAAGCAATGTTATTTTCTTTTCTTTTCTATACATTCAGCAAAGACAGATGTTTCATAGCTTATCCAATGCCACAAATATAATCACAGTGAAAAATGGGTATTATCAGAAATTGGAGTTTATAATTTCCCCCTTATTAGCTTAGCTTATTTTAAAGCCAATCTAAGTCTTAACACATAGCAACATACTTCGTAAATTGAACATGTGCATATTAAAAAGGTTTATGATTTAATTTCCCACAGTCATGTAATTGTGGAAGGCACTCAGCTTCAGAGCTAAAGACAATGTCAATACATAGCTGGAACTTCTCAAAAGCATTACACACACACACATATATATATATGGCATTCAGCTTGGTTTGGGTATATTCCCACGTCATTGTAGTTGTGCTTTTAAAGTTGTAGCAACGTTTTGGCAGAATCTCATCTGCCATCATCAGGCTTCTGTATAGTGTTCATCTGTGAGTCAGACTTTTACAGACTTTTAAAAGCACAACTACAATGACGTGGGAATATACCCGAACAAAGCTGAATGCCATACATGTAAGTACCCGCGAAAACTTAAGAAGACATATATATATAATCTGTGCAACTATAAAGACATGTGACAATGAGAAAGGGACAAAAATCTTGTGAAAGATTTCAACATACTCCAAAACTGAATAAAGCAAATCTATACTTTTTTATTTTTTTAACAATTTGCCAAGACTGGAATGAGAGATAAATAGAAGGCACAACAATTTTGTTTCGGTTTTAATACAAATACAAACTAAACATGAAAAAGTCCCTATTTCAATAAAAAAAAATTTTTTACAAGTTCAGGAAGAGTGTTTTAAAGAGTCAAGTTCTAGACATTTAAAACCTATCCCACAATCCTTGTAAGTGGTAAAACAGTAGTGAGAATTCCTTTTCGTGATCATGTACCAAAAGAAAATATTCTATGAATACCCTTTATTCCACTTTTACAACGCCACAAAAAAAAAAAAAAAAAAGGGTAACGTCGATTTCCAAACAGCAACATCTCCAGACTGGGAACGAAGAGGTCCTATGACCCCACCTCCCAAGGGGTATACGGATTTCCCTGCCCTTGAAATGTTTGTCAGGTGCTAGATTTTCCTATAGGCTCCAGAACACATGCAGGTAAAAAGGGTAATTCCACTGACTAAAGCGCACCTCACGTCAGTAAGGAAAAAAGAAAAGCGCCACACTTCCATTAGGAAAAATCACTGGTACCAAAAAAATATATATATATCCAGTCCATATGTCTGCAGCGAGCGAGCAAGGATTTGGTAATTCTTTCTAAAATCCATCTTTTCCTGAAATATTGTTCCACAAAGCTGGAATCTGGGACAAGGACTAGGAAGAAAAATCACAAAACCAAACACAAACAAAATGAGCCAAAATTGTATCAAACGTAGCAGTCTATAACAGGGTAGGACCACATTCCAAGATACCCAAGGCTGAAATTCACAAATCTGCAGAAGGGTTTGTCTCCTCTCATCATCCGTTAATCACTGGCGTTGCCCGATGCCCCTTCCAGTGCCAAATCCTGGTTTTTGAGACATTCCTCCACGTGGAGGGCCTCGAATCCCACCTCCCAGCCCCCCACGGGTGCCACCAGGCCCACGGGGTCTGTTGTCTCGACGATCACCCTCCCTGGCTGCTCGAGTTTTTTTCTCTTCTACATTCAAGCGCACTTCTCCTCTGAACATGATTGGCTGCAAGAGAAGAGAGAGAAATATCAAGAGACCAAAGAGAACCATTCAGAACAGTCAACAACAGAATTGCAATCCAAGTCTACTGAGAAGTAAGACTCACTAGATTCACCAGGTTCTTTCTGGGGAGCGCAACCTAATTCATTTAATCTTTCAAAAGGCTAAAAGATAATGTTTCAAAATAGATATATGTTGTTTCTGTGAATTCAAACCACTCCGTAGTCCATGTATTTTTTTTTAATATGTTCAGATTACTCATGAAGCTCTTGTGCAAAACCGAAAAAACACTGGATGCTCCCCTGCCAATCAGATTGGTCCTATTTCAACATATAATCGAGTGTTGTTTAGGAGAGATGGGCTATTGTATTTCCTATTCTGTCCTTCAGGGCTTCCTGAAAATCCAAGAGAACAATTTTGTACGTGGAGTCCAAGAAATCCAGCTATCAAAATTATTCATTAAACTGATGAACTATCCTCACATTTACTATTTATGGTTTCAAAAAGTACCCAACTATCCTAACATATAAGCATTTTTTTAAAAATTCTTCAGAATTATAGAATATGAAATTGATATTTCATAATTATTTTAAATGACTACTGCAAATTAATGCAGAATAATCTAACTACGGTAGCTATGTACCACTCTTGTGAATTCCACTTTAGCAATCATTTGCCAACATAAAAGCAGAAGCATTCCAGTGATTAACTTTTGTTTTTAATACAAATATTTTCTGTTTTATTTCAAAAGGATAGATATTTAGCCAATTTCAACATGACCAGATCACTTGAAAGTTTTATTAATTTGAATTTAATGTACCCTATTGCCAAGGATCTTCTGAACTGGTTCTGGATCATCAAATACCACAAATCCAAAGTTAGGCAGTTTTCCTCCACTGTTGATACGCAGTTCTACAACATTTCCATAGCCTGCAAGAGAGTTTGCAAGTTCTTTGATCATACATTAGACTGTTCTGTGAAAATAAGCATGTACTTTTAAACCGCCACCAATAGCAAGCTCCAACCAATAGAAAAGCAATGTTCACAGCTTACTTTGAAAGAAGTCCTTTAGTTCTGATTTATCAACATCATGAGGAAGGTTCCCTACAAAGAGCTGGTGACTGTCTGGGTACCTCACAATCCGTCTGGTTTCCATGTCACCTTGTTCTCCTTCCCGGACTTAAATAAAAGAATTGTGGTGTAAGAATATCATGATATTAAAGAAAATGAAACAGCGTCTATCTTAATCTTTGTTTACAGTAAAAGAAATGCTGGTTATTAATTAGACAAGTGAAATTACAACAATTGATCCAGTTATTCCTATTTAAGAGGCTTCATTGTTAACATGCAAGTGGCATCTTACCAAAGCCTTTGAAGTAGAATAAAAGGTCTACATATAAATAATTTGGTCTTATATTCTTTCCAACTCTTTAAGAAATATTTTTGCGTTTTTTAACTTAAGCGCAGCAGTTGGGATGTTTTAATAATTTTATTTCGATACTGAACTCCCTTTTAAAAACCATACTATATCACCACCATACAATTTTTCTATATACCAAATACAGAATTTGGTTTTCTTACTTGTTCTAGGGCCTCTTTGTAGTGGGATGTTTGTCCGTTGCTCTCTCACCCTCTGGTCCCGCTGAGGTCTCTGTGGTGGAGTTTGGGATTCAGGCTTAGATTCAGTACGGGGCTGAAAAATGTATCAGCACAAAATGAGTACAGAAGACAAACAAAATTAAAATTTATTCTGACTGTAACAATTAGGAACCTGTGGAAGAGACGGAAAACAAGCTTAAAAAATGGAATTAAGAAAATTAATCCCTTTCTTTCACTTAACACACTTGCCGTTGAAGCCTAAAGAAGCTATACTGAGTTGGAAGCACTGATGACAAATGCTTCCTTTCCACAGTATTTTTCATCCATTTCTGGTGAGAATAGCAATAGACAGTTGCATTTAATCTTTAATGTGGCAGTGCCTCTTCAAAATTATGAGGGGGTTGAAGAAAAATAGAAAACAAGTCCAAATGTATGGCTAGGAGACAATTATATAGCTAAAAGCAAAACCCTCTAGAGCAGGGGTCTCAAACTCGTGGTCTGCGGGCCAATTGCGGCCCGCAGGAAGATAACCTGTGCCCCCACCGTGATATGAAACCATAATATTAGTGTGGCCCACAGGGGGAATGGACCTCCGAAGGAAGTCCCACCCGCCGGTCCTCATTGTGGCTAACATTCGGGCCCGGCAAGTCCGAGCAGCCAGCACATAGAACAGGGCGGCGCCGGATGTTGGAGAAGCAGAGCGGAACCGGAGATCATTAGCCGCCTCTTTCGCAGCACAAGAAGCCTCCCCCAACTGGCCAGCTGCTCTCCTCCTTCTCTGCCTGTTTGTTCTGTATGGC